CTTGTGCAAAGTTCGATTAGAGCTACGTTCGGCCTGATTCTTAACGGATTCGTAGGAAACTTGACATTGAGGTGCAGCCACATTCATATGCATGATAGAGTCATAGAATATCCAATGCTTACCCCTACCCATTTAGAGCTAGACTTGGAGGCTTAAACCCACATCACATTAGCTTACTCAGCCTAAAGAGTCATCATCTTTGACTCTTCTCACATATATTTGCAACACCATAACCTTTGCAGCCAGCCTTAGTATCTCATTCACACACTTCACTCACACATCCATATCCATATCATATTTCCCTTTAAGGACCCTTTTCTCATGAAATCTTGTTTCAACACTGTGCACGCATGTTCCATCATCTTTCAAGACAACATTCATCAAATGAAAACATTATATACATGCTTAGTTTCCAAACCTAAGCACTATTTATTGTGTTATGCATCGCATATCGTGCTTAGTTCCTTGACCTAAGCAACATTCATTATCCAATATTCATTAATCATTTCATCTATATACGTGCTTAGCTTCTAGACCTAAGTGACCTAAGTTCATTCATCTATCGTGTCACATGATGTAATTGTCCTTAGCCTCCTAGCCTAAGAACATGCATCATGCATACATTATTTTCAAGACAAGCAATTAAATCCATGCGTTTTATTTCGTCTTGCTCAACGAGGAAGTTCAAAACTTCTTCCCTTTTTCATATCTCTTATTTTGGGGAATTTCAAAAACCTTTTAAAAAAAATTCATCGAGCGAAGTTCGAAAACAACACTTCATTTTTCACATCTTTCTTTTTGGGAGAATGTCGGTACCCTCCACTCATGACAAAAATGACCGAAAATTTTTACTTTTGCATTTTTGTTTGCTTGTGTCTGTGCACACACTCACTCAATACACATATACACACAATCACAAGTCATACACATGTCATTTCATGGCATTTCAAGTCAATCTTGGTCAAGTCAGTTGGTCAAGTCAATCATAGTCTATACGAGTCCCTTGGCAAATTTTATTTTGCAGGTCTCATCTACAGCCCACGTTCGGGAATAAGTAAACCACCTACAGCCCACGTTTGGGGATAAGCGAACCATCTACGGCCCACGTTCGTGACAATCGAACCCACTACATCCCACGTTCGGGGACAAGCGGACCATCAACAGCCTACGTTCGGGGACAAGCGAACAGTTTACAGCCCACATTCGGGGACAATCGAACCAAATACAGCCCACGTTTGGGGCTAATCGAACCACCATTATTTCATGGCGCAAGGTTCTCGATACACAGAGACTTGCAATCTTAGTAGACAAGTTTTTCCTCAAGCATGGAAAATTGTCGGTCATTGACATCTCTCAAGGTGGAAAAATCAACGATTATATCGTCTATCGACTTTCCTCAAGCATGGAAAGTATCTCAACCGGTGGATTTCTTCAAGCATAGAAAGCTGCCAAAATCAGCTGTCGACTTTCCTCAAGCACGGAAAGTATTATCCGATGGATTTCTCCAAGCATAGAAAACCGCCAAATTTCTATGTCGACTTTCCTCAAGCATGGAAAGTAACATCCGTTAGATTTCTTCAAGGATAGAAAGCTACCAAACTCATCCGTCGACTTTCTTCAAGCATTGAAAGTATTATCCGGTGGATTTCTTCAAGCATAGAAAACCGCCAAATTCATATGTCGACTTTCCTCAAGCATGGAAAGTATCCCAACAAAACGTCATCTAGTGGATTCTTTCAAGCATAGGAAGCTAACAAACTCATTTTTCAGCGATACACTGGTGTTAGATAAGCATTCTATCCCTTTACTCTTTTACCTTTAGAACTAACATTTTTTCGCAAGTATCGGCGTATATAAAGTGATTTAGGATCACAGAACGTCTTAAAACATTATCCGACCCTATCGAATACTTTAACTATCATTTTCAAAACTGACGTTTCTAAAAACTCAGTCAAAGTGGGGGCTTCTGTAGATACCTTAAAATTAAATGTCTCCTCTAAACCAAATATAATATAAACAACCTTTCACCGCCATTATTGGTCGGGTTGAGTACTTAATCTTGGAGTGCATAAATCCATATTTCCATTTCATAAACAAACCCAATTACTATCCCGTTTCCCCAAACCATAACTTATTTTCCTCTTTTCGTGCCTTTAAATCCAAAATAATTCATTTCGCGTCCCTTAAAATCATTCATTTCGTGTCCTTTTTATAAAAACGTTTAGTCCTATTTATATTGGTCCATAATCATGGTCCAATGATAAAATATTTGTATTGGTCTTGAAAATAGATTTCTAATGATATATTATAAGCCAAAATCCGAGTTATAACGAATAAGTTATGGCCAAAATACTAAACTGAGCCCAAACCGAACCTAAGCCCACCTTACCTACAATCCAATGATCATGTGAAGGGTCCAAAGGATTTAATCCCATTACTAAACCTATTAAGATTAATTGGAAGCTTCTATAAGTTTCTAAAAGATCTTAATTATCCTTTTTGAAAAGATAAGATTAAAGAATTTGAAATTAAATAAAACTCCTCTTTTTGAAAATCCTAATTCTTTCCGAATTGAAATACGTTCAAAGATAGTCAGATATTATTTTTCGTTCCTCATATTTTTTATCCAAATCTTAGATGTTTGGATATCCCTTGAAATTATCTTTCCAATGATATATTATAATATTAATTCCGAGCTATAACGAAAAAGGTATGAATGAAATACCAAACTCTATCCAAATTTGACACCGTCCAAATATTTCGGCCATATCTTTTATTATACAAATTATTTTAATCTGATTTTAATTGTTTTAGAAATTAGACTTCAACATCTTTCCAAAAACATATTATTTATCTTATTCCGATTTTTGGATCAAAAGATATGATAAAAACAAAATCGCAAAAACTGCTGTCTATCGGGTTTTATTCTGATTAACTTCGGTTATCTTAATTCTTTGACCCTTCTTTTTTCATTATAAATAGAATTCATATCTCCCCTTTTTCAATCATCAACAAGCTTGATCACAAAATAATTCTCTTCTCCCTCTTTATTTTAAATACTAGCCACCCTATTCTCTCAAAATACTTCCCCTAAGCACTCCAAGGAGTCCATATATACAATACCCGAAGTTCTATACTTAAAACAAGGCGTGAAAGGTATAATTAATTGAGGGTTTGGACCAAATCATATCTACTTTTTATTTAATTTAATTTAATTTCAATTTGATTTATATTTGAATTGAAGTTAATAACAGTTTATTCATGATGTAGCAATTCAAGGAAACGCGGAAAGTGAGTAATTAATCACTTGATTACTCTTATTTTTATTATTGTTGCTAGTATCATGATTAGGTTTATTATGATTTTTTTTGAATAACAATATTATTTTTAAATTTATTCCAATATTAATGTTTATTCTATTATTATTTTTTATCACCATATTGCATGTTTAAAGGGAATATGTAATTGAAAATCACGCCTAATAAGATAATTTGGACAACCGGCTTAGGAACCTTTTCATCATGTTCTTAATTGAAGTGATCACAAATATTTTAGAATTATGTGTTGCATTAATATTCAACCAATTTAGCCTAATAATAGTTTGGAGCAAATTAAATATTTGTTTGTATGCCTTTGAGCTCGTAGGAATCGCTTTTCACTATAAGAATCGAGTAGAGGTCAATACGGGTGAATGTGACTCCATGACGCACTTTGTACCATCATCCCTGATCCTACTTTTGTGGTTCCGAACCATATAGAGTTAGTAATCTCATGGATTATGACTAGGGTGTAACCTTCACGGGTCAATCGTTGTTGCCTTTCGTTGTCCCTTTATCGTGGTTGCCTTTTATGATCCGTGAATGGTTTACAAGTTCCTTAAAAACTTGTTGGAGGCTCCCTACTTTCCTTATCCCTAATCGTATAATGTTAATTCCCACTTCCTATGAGTGCCGAGCATATTTATACATGCTTTAACGTAGACGCACTTTGGACGACGCCTACATGAAGCAAAGATTAGCCAAATCTCAACACCAAAACCAAGTAATCACCAAATAAATACACAACACCCCCAAGCTTATTCAAATCCAACACAAACATATGCACAAAAAGCATAAGAACGCTTCCCCCCAAGCTTGAAAAAAGCATTGTCCTCAATCACTACTACATTTTTTATCAAATGTAATGATTACATTAGGGCTAATGCAACGGCAACATACATAGTCGTTGCATCAGGTTCATCTAATGCAACGGATGCTTTATATCAGGAAATAGATGGGCCTAATACAGCTGTTATGAGAAGCCGTTGCAACAGGATGATCTGACGCAACGACCATTTAAAATTTGAGATAGATGAAAATTTCATATAAGCCCATTGTTCTATTTAACTTCCCTCCCATTTTTTACCCTTAAATCTTAAAAACCGTCACGTTTTCCAAAACAATATATCGGCGTCATTTCTCTCTCTCTCTCCTCATCCCGCCTCCTCCGTCTCGACTTCCACCTCTCCTCTGCCAACCACACCTTCTTGTGCCGATTAAGAAGCTCAAGTCCCACTAGTCTTTGTTTCTCGACTACATAAGAATGGCTCTCACCATTGCTTCAACTCCATTTCAGATGAAGACCCCGACCACGTTTGTTCCCTGACTATTGATAGAGTAATGATACAACATACTAAATGATCCAGACCTGATTTTGAAAGAACAGAATGGAGGCTGGTTCAATCACCCCTAATAACTAGCCTGGAAGAAAGAAGGACAGTTTGAGGAAGTAATTGAATAATGAACTTGCAATGAGATTATAGAGAGAGAATAAGAGATAAGATCAAAGGGAATTTTCATTGATAAAACATAATACCAGCTATTACATCATTGTTTGGCTTTTATAGCCTTGATTACAGAATGACTCATTACTAATTGAAATAGGACAAAATAATTGGTACAATGACAGACTATCATAGTACTCCTCTACTGGCTAGCTGGCATATTCCCTTGATTATTCCCCTACTCCCTGTGAGCTATCATTCCTTCTTCAGCATTCTTTTCCTTCTCCTGATCCTTTGTCACTTTGCTTGACTTAGCAGCTGATTCTTTGTTGTTACTCAAGGTCAGTCCATTCAGCATTTCATTTACCAATGGAACAGTGTCTAATGGAACAGTGATTGCATCAATACTCCCTCCATTAAAGGATCCTTGACCCCAAGGATCAAATGTAGGAAATTCCTTCTCTAACTTCTCAGCATCCACCCATGTTGCTTCCTCTATAGGCCATTGATCCCATTGAACTAACCATTGGACCACCGCATTGTTCTGTCTCTTCACACTTCTCTTGTCTAGCACAGCTATAGGAACTTTAATTGTAGTTTGATCAGGGTAGAGATTGGGTAAGTCAGGTGGGGTGGGTTGAGCAGGTGTAGGGCCATGATGTTTTTTTACGAGAGAAACATGGAATGTGGGGTGAATTCTGGCAGAGGAAGGGAGTTGTAAGGTATAAGCTACTTCACCCACCATCTTCACAATCTAGTAAGGACCATAGTATCTAGGTGAGAGCTTTTCATTGCATCTATGCTGTATAGAGATTTGCCTATATGGCTGCAAGCTTTAAATACACCCAATCCCCAACTGCAAATTGTCTTTCAGACCTATGTTTATCAGCCAGCTGCTTTATTCTGTTTTGAGCTCTAAGCAGATTTTCCTTGAGCATTGAAATAGCTGCATTTCTCTGTTGTAAGCTTCTATCAATAGCATCTACCACACATGTCCCAGCCAAATAAGGTCAGTAAATGGGGGGAGCTTGGTTGTAAAGAATCTCAAAGGGAGTGATTCTTCGTGAAGTATGATAGTTTGTGTTATACCAGAACTCAGCAAGAGATAACCACTTAGACCATTCTTGAGGTTTCTCTAAACACATGCACCTCAAGTAAGACTCCAAACACCTATTCAGAACCTCATTCTAACCATCTGTCTGGGGGTGGTATGAGGTAGACAATTTGTGTTGTATTCCTTGGAGCTTGATGAATTATGACCAAAATTGACTGATGAACACCTTATCTCTGTCTGATATGATAGATTTGGGAAAGCCATGTAGCTTGAACACATGATCTAGATATGCTCGAGCAACCTTTAAAGCATAATATGGATGAGACAGAGCTATGAAGTAAGCATACTTGCTTAATCTATCCACCACTACCATGATGAATTGCCTCCCTTGAGAATTAGGTAGCCCTTCAATAAAGTCCATGGTTACTTCTTCCCATATTTGTTCTGGTAAGGGTAGTGGTTGTAGAATTCCAGGGTAAGCTGCAGCATCATATTTGTATTGCTGGCATACAGTGCAGTGCTTAATGTGCTGCTTGATGCTTTCCTTCATGCCCTTCCAGTAAAATATTGCTTTTACTTTTTGATAAGTAGCCTCAACAACAGAATGGCTACCTTGGGGTGAGTTATGTAACCAAACAAGAATTTTCTTCTGAACAGCTTCATCTTGACCCACCACTAGCTTCCCTTTTCTCTTGAGTAGTTGTTATTCCCAAGTGTAATGTCTGTGAGATTCTAGATTTCCTTGTAGCTCTGTAATTAATTTCAAAGTATTTGCATCAGTATTCCACGTTTGCTTAATCTGATCTAATAGATCAGGTTTAGACTTGAGCTGGTCATGGCATTAAGCTGAGCTTCACGTATCCTTGAAAGAGCATCTGCCACCTTATTTTCTGCACCTGACTTGTATTCAACCTGATAGGCAAAACCAGTGAGTTTGGACAGCCAATTTTGCTGTAAAGGTGCGGCCATTTTGTGTTCAAGAAGGTATTTAAGACTCTGCTGGTCAGTCTTGATTGTGAAAGGTCTAGCCATTAGATAGTGTTGCCACTTTCTCACAGCAAACACTACTGCCAACAGCTCTCTCTCATATGCTGAGAGTATGTTGTGTCTTTCACTTAGAGCTTTACTCAAAAAGCTAATGGGGTGTCCACCTTGCATTAACACAACTCCAATCCCTATCCCCGAGGCATATGTCTCTATAACAAAAGGTTCAGCAAAGTTGGGCATAGCAAGAACAGATGGGGTAGTTATGACTTGTTTCAGTTGATTAAATGCATTTTCAGCATCATTATTCCAAGAAAATCCAGTTTTACCTAGCAGTGAGGTAAGAGGCTTGCATATCTTCCCATAATCCCAGATAAATCTTCTATAGTACCCAGTAAGACTTAGGAATCCCCTTAGTTGCTTAAGATTTTTGGGCCTTAGCCACTCCAGCATAGCTCTCACTTTCTTAGGATCAGTTGCAACCCCCTGCTGTGAAATGATATGCCCCAAGTAGTGTATTTCCCTGAGACCAAATGAGCACTTTTTGAAGTTAGCATGGAGTTGATGCTCTTGCATAATATCTAGGGTAGCAGTGAGATCTCTCAAATGAGCTTTTCAAGTAGGACTGTATACCAGAATATCATTAAACAAAAACTAGGACACATTTTCTGAGGAGGGGTTTAAAAATAGAGTTCATAAGGGCTTGAAAAGTGGAGGGAGCATTAGTGAGCCCAAATGGGATCACTAGATATTCAAAGTGCCCAAAGTGAGTTTTGAAAGCTGTTTTCTGAATGGCTGAAGGGTGCATTCTTATTTGATGATAGCCAGATTTAAGGTTTATCTTAGAAAAAAAAATGAGTGCCCTGTAGCTCATAAAAAAACTCTTCAATAAAGTAAATCTGTCTTTAACTGTTGCCTTGTTCAGATTCCTGTAGTCTATACACATTCTCCAGCTGCCATCTTTCTTTTTTACCAATACAACAGGTGCTGCAAAAGGACTGTTACTTGGCCTGATCACTCCTTGATCAAGTAATTCTTGCACCATCTCTTATATCACATTCTTCTGTAAAGCAGGATATCTATAAGCTCTCAAATTAATGGCACTAGTGCCCTTTTTGAGTGGTATGACATGATCAAATCCCTTTCTTTCTGCTGGTAGTTTCTGAGGTGGTGAGAAAACAGTTTCATATTGATCTAAAAGGCAGTCAAAATGGGATGGGAATTGATATTATCATTAGAAGTAGGTTGAGGTGAAGTGTGAGTATTACTGGGTATGAGTTGCATCATGGATAGAGAACCTTCATGGGTCAGCATTTTCTGGAGTTTTTTTGGTTGCATCACCTTCCATTTCTTTGGGCTAGCTCCTCTCAGTTTGATTTTCTTCCCACCATACTTGAATTCCATAGTGAGATTGCAAAAATCCCATAAAACTGATGCAAGCTGAGAAAACCATTGTATTCCTAGGACCAAGTCACTACCACTTAGGGGCAACAAAAATACATCAGCCTTAAACTCAGTGCCTTGCATTCTCCAAGTAAACCCCTTAATGATTTGATGGCAATTGATCTCATTCCCATCAACCACCTTCACCCATAAGGGTGTTATATTCTCAACCTTACACTCAAGCTTAAGAGCTTTGTTTACATCAATAAAATTGTGTGTACTGCCACTATCAAGTGATAATTATAGCTTTTTCTTGCCATGATGCCCTTCAATTCTCATGGTTTGGAAAGATGTTACTCCATCTATAGCCTGTAAGGATAGATGAGCACATTAGGAGTTGTCCTGTTCTACCTCTCCATTCACTTCCTCCTCCTCTTCGTCTGAGTCTTCCACCTCAATACGATACAATTGAGGTCTTTTTCCCTTGCACTTATGCCCCACTTCATACTTTTCATCACACCAAAAACACTGGTTCTTAGCTCTCTTTTCATTGAACTCAGCTAGGGTTAGGGTTGTTCTGTATGTGTTTGGGGTTCTAGCAGGTTGGTTAGGGTTAGAGGTGTTTGAGGTTCTGGTATGTTGGGTGGGGTTATTTGTGGGAGAGGTAGATTTGTATGGTAGGAACTGAGTGGTTGGTTTTGGGTTGGGTAAAAGGGGTGCCTGTTTGATGGGTGGTTTGGGTTTCTTTGCCTTATTGGCAGCTTCCTATAACTTAGCTAAGCATAGAGCTTGCTGTAAATTTGTGGGGTTAAAGATTCTCACTGAGAGCTGAATATCTTCTTCCAACCCAGCCAGATAACAGCTCAACAAGTATGGCTCCGACAGATTGAGCCTACTAGCCAAAGCATCAAATGAATCATGATACTCTTGAACACCCCCAATCTGCTTGAGAGATTTCAGGTCAGCCATAGGATCATCAAATAGATCTCCAAATCGAGCTGTGATGTCCTTAACATACTCTTCCCAGTTGGGCAACACCTGGTGCCTTCTCTGAGAATAAGTTTGATGCCACAGAAGAGCCTTATCCTCCAGATGAATAGCAGCAAGTTTAACCCTATCAGGGTCTTTAACATTATCAAGCTCAAAAAACTAATTACATTTAAATATCCAGGATTTCAAGTTTGTCCCATTAAACTTAGGAAATTCTACCTTAGTGAGCCTAGTAGAATAATGAGATTGTTTAGGAGGGGGTTCAGGTTCTTGTTCATGTATAGATCTAGTTTCAATGCCTGATCTATTGGTATTATCAGCAACAAGCTTGGTTATTTGCACAGATAAACCTAGCAGCAAATCATTCAATTCAGAGATAGACTTACAATTCTTGTCAATATTATTGTTGTTATCCTTACAGGCCTTGTCCAGCTTCTTGCCCTGTTCTTGAAGTAAAAATTTCATGGTTTTTTCAAGCCTTCTGATTTCAGTATTACCAAGTTGTTCTGAATCTGAGGATGACCTAAGGATAGGCATGGTGAATGACAGGCCGAGGAAAGGACTGCTCTGATACCAATGAAACAATATACTAAACAATCCAGACCTGATTCTGAAAGAACAGAATGGAGGCTGGTTCAATCACCCTATAACTATCCTGGAAGAAAGAAGGACAGTTTGAGGAAGTAATTGAATAATGAACTTGCAATGAGATTATAGAGAGAGAATAAGAGATAAGATCAAAGGGAATTTTCATTGATAAAACATAATACCAGCTATTACATCATTGTTTGGCTTTTATAGCCTTGATTATAGAATGACTCATTACTAATTGAAATAGGACAAAATAATTGGTACAATGACAGACTATCAAAGTACTCCTCTACTTGCTAGCTGGCATATTCCCTTGATTATTCCCTTGCTCCCTGTGAGCTGACATTCCTTCTTCAGCATTCTTTTCCTTCTCCTGATCCTTTGTCACTTTGCATGACTCAGCAGCTGATTCTTTGTTGTTACTCAAAGTCAGTCCATTCAGCATTTCATTTACCAATGGAACAGTGTCCAATGGAACAGTGATTGCATCAAGTAATGACTATCTCTTGCGGTGTTACCAAGAAGCTTGTCAGTTGTCGTGAAGTTTATTAAAGGTTTCTCTGTTACCCTTAGCTTCTTGGTTTTGTTTACTCTGGTTCTTAAATTCTTAGGGTTTTGAAATTTGCTATTAAATTGAAATTATCTTAACTGATAATTTTTGGTAGATTGTTAGTGGTAGAGCTAAAAAATTGAATTGATAGATGAAATTAGGTTTTTGTATCTGGAGTGTTGCATGCTATGATTGGGAATTTGTTGAATTGGGGTAGAAATGGTGGTAGGTTTAAATTAGCTAAGCTATTTAAAAATTCTAGTTTATTGAAAAGATGACAGTTCTTTAATCATTGTTGAAAAGAGGTTAATGCAAGGTTACTGATAGTATGTGATTTGTGGCCAATATATAGTTCTTTACATATCTCCACTACATATAATTCGAATTTTTATTATAAATGGAATGTCCTTACCTTGCATTAACTTGAATTCATTGCTGCACATCATTTGGATGATTGATAATACATGTGTTTAGATTTCAGCCACAAGTTTAAGAATAAATTAGTATTATGGGTCTTGTTTAATCTATCTCAATTAGTATTTTCTTGCAGCCAACAACATAAGGTAACCTGAAATTTTTTCAGCTTATGTTATAACTGAATATAGAATAATTCATAGCCGTATCTTTTCCTGCTTACCTGCAGCAGTTAAGGGTTGATAAATGCTAAGCTATAGAAGAACTTAGCATTCGGAAGCCTTAAGTCCTCAGGTTTATCAAATCTAGTACAGATGATTCTGTTCTTTTCAACTTCATATTCTTATAAAAGCTTATAAGTGAAACCTTAAGTCCTCAGGTTTATCAGACGAATGAAGGTGCTATTGTTTGTACGGTGCATGAGCTTGCCAAATAATATATTTTGGACATAAAAATAAGGAAAAATTGCGTGGAATAATCCGACCTTTGGCTCATCCACTCAAAATAATCCCACCTATTAATTATTTTTAAATAATCCGACCTTTAATGCCAATTCGCTATAAATGGTCCCAAGAGACCTGTAACCGGTTGGGTAGGTAATTTATTTTTATTAAGTTTAATTTACAAATGTCATCACT